GAATCTGGAGTAGCCATAAACCACAATGTTATTAAAAGCTGTTTTTCTGGAGATATTTGCTTCCTTCCACAAGCATTTGTAGCATTCAAAGCTGGTCTTAAAAGTCTCAAAACCATTTCAAAGGTTTCTGAAAACATTTTGCAACATAACCAAAATCACACATATGACAGCTTGCATTTATTATTTATTAACAGAAAAAATACAATATGTGCACAAACCTAAAATGTTCTTTAAAAATAATTCTAGAATATCCTTAAACAACTCGTTCAACATAATCAATCAACTTTTCCGTCTCATTTGTTTCACCCCGCGTTTCATTCACCATCATAATGGCATATAGGATATGCATTTCATTTTCTTCATCACTAGAATTACTGCTAGATGACGAAAAACGTTGATAATAATTTGTGTCACTATCAACTTGACTGCAAATAACAACAGAAGAGAGTATATGATCAGCTGGTTTCTTTGCCATGTCTGTTTACAAATAGCGCGCAAAAAGCGCGCATGAGTCCGTTCCGTTTTTCACGGAAAGTGTAAAAAAGGAACAAACCAATGCGCTCATATGATGCGCTGTACTCCATGCGATCCATGCATGAAACGGAACTCACCTTCGGTGCTCTCGGTGCTAGCCGGCCAGGGTTTGCAACACTGATAAAACCAAACCTCTGAATTCTCTGATGCGCATCACCAAACGAATTCAACGTGTACAAAGTCATCAAAATCTGTGCGATTGAAACAATAAACTTTTATTGTAAAAATATTTAATTCTGAAAATTACAATAATGAGTTCAAGTACAATTACTAAGGTACGTTTACTTAATAATAGTAGTAACATACTGTTTGTAAAATAAAATGGTTCTGTAATTTTAGACATACATAATAATGCATATAAAGTATGTACATGTATAATTCTCTAGAAGCAAATGTATATAGAGTAAATTATTATATATTGTCTGAAAGTAATTAAATATGAGAAACTCATATTCATTAAGATATTGCATGATTATACTTTATACAATTTGTTTGGTTTTTTAGCCTTCAGTAGCACCATCTGTACAGGAATTTAGTATCAGAGTACCAAAGTTTGTATTGTTTTTTTAGAAAAACTAGTAATAGCACTATAAGAAATTCTAATTTATGAAATTTGTAGAAACAACAAAAAGAAACACAATGTTATGAGATTTAATGCAACACTAAATGTAGATTTCTCAAAATGGACTCAAGTAAAAATGGAACGAGAGAATAATATGAAAGAGTACAAGGGATTAGAGGAAGAAATGCCAAAATTTGGTGCTGGATCTGAATTTGGACGTGATGCTAGAGAAGAAGCTAGAAGGAAAAAATATGGTATTACTAGTAGAAAATATAAACCTGAAGATCAACCATGGATTTTAAAAGCTGGGGGAAAAACAGGAAAAAAATTTAAAGGTATACGAGAAGGAGGAGTCAGTGAAAATGCAGCATATTATGTATTTACTCATGCTGCTGATGGTGCTATAGAGGCTTTCCCTTTACATGAGTGGTAAATATTCTGTATTTTATTTACAGATAGTTACTAATAATAAAAAATATTTACATGCATATATATATGTATATATATATATAGGTATAACTTTCAACCAATTCAAAGATACAAGGCTCTTAGTGCTGAAGAAGCTGAACAAGAATTTAGTCGTAGAAACAAGGTTATGAATTATTTCTCACTAATGTTACGCAAAAGATTGAGAAATGATGAGGATGGTGGAGATGAAGAGGAATTAGTAGAAGGTAATAAAGGCAAAAGATTAGGAAAGAAAGATAAGGATCTAAAAATATCAGATATGGACGAGTGGATGGAAAGTGATGATGATGAATTATGTAGTGATGAAGAGGAAACTAAGAAAGATTCTGAAGATGAAAATGATGCAAAAAAGAAAAATAAAGGCAAAGGTAAACAACTTTTAATTGATTGAAAATTATAATATAGTATGCCGTTTTTATTTATTTGTTTTAATCAGTTCAGTCAAAAAAAAAAAAAAAGAATGCTTCTGATGAAGAAGCATTTGAAGAAAGTGATGATGGAGATGAAGAGGGAAGAGAATGTGATTATATTTCTGATTCTTCTGATTCCGAATCGGAGTTAGAACAACAAAAGGAAATCAAGTCAGTTGCGGAAGAAGATGCATTGAGAAAATTACTTGCATCTGATGAAGAGGAAGATGACGAGGAAAAAACGGATAAGAAAGAAGGTGAAGAAGACAAAGATGATGATGAGGATGGGAAAGAAAAAGATGACAAAGTAATAAGACATTGTTGTTATATTTATTGATAAGATATCATATATATATATACTTTCATATATTTAAAATGAAAGATAAATGATAAATTACACTATGTGTTTCTATTGTTTTAATATATCTAATGTTTTTGTCAGGATAAAGACAAAGCTGGTAAAGATTTTGATAAGAAGAAAGACAAGAAGAAGAAGAAAAAATCAAAAAAGAAGGATCAAAAGAAATTGGCATCGGGAAAAGATTCTTCGAGTGATTTTTCTAGTGACTCAGACTCAGATTCAGATTCAACAGCAAAAGAAAAGGATAACAAAAAGTCTAACAGCGCACATAGTTCAAGATCGGCAACACCAACACCCGCAACGTCCGGAGTCTCAGATTCTCTCAAGAGAAAACAATCTGGATCTCCAGATTTGTCACAAGCAAAGAAACTAAAGTTAGATAACTTTAACTTGGTTCCAGTGACTTCATATATACCAGGAGCAAAGTATGTCTTCAATGTTTCATAAAACAAATATAAGATTTGATTTGATTTTAATGACAATATTTATTCCACATGCGTTTTGTAAATTTTAGTGAATCGGGCATTACGGAGGATGCAGTAAGACGATATCTCATGCGCAAACCTATGACAACAACTGAACTGCTGCAGAAATTTAAATCTAAAAAAACTGGTCTCACTTCTGAGCAGCTTGTCAACATTATGACTCAGATATTAAAGAAGATAAATCCGACCAAGCAAACAATTAAGAACAAAATGTATTTATCGATCAAAGCACAACAATCTAACTAAATCTTGTTTGCTTCCGAGCATTTACAATTGCTCAACATGTTCAATATTATGCATACAGTAATTGCATATTAATACATAATGACATTTGTTGCACTAATAGTAAAAATATGTTAAAATATATATATATATATATATATGCCTCATGTAGTATTATTGCACATGAAATTCCATCAACATAACGCAGAGAATGGCATCGAGAATGGCATCGAATAGCGCCATACATGATACTGCTTTTTTTTAAATAAATTGCATTAAATCAAATTTACATACTACATTAAATTACATTAAAGTACGCATATAAATACTATAGTATGTACATAAATATAACAGTTTTATAATATTTTTTGCAGAACTTTGAATTTCAACGTTTGACAAACTGTTAAAATGAAGCTAACACATTGATTTTTTTCTCGTTTGGTATAAAGTTTCTGTGATCAATAATTTTTGATATTTTATAAATAAAATTTGTTTAGTAAATTTATTTAATATTATACATATATATACAAGGTGTCGATAAAATTTGTTATTATTCTTATATCGTGGAAACGGTTCGACATTATGGAAAATTGCAGAACACGTATTTGATTGTTTCGAGGAGCTACTCTCTTAAGGGAGTTGCGGATGTTGCCTCTCCCCAACGGGGTGCCCCAAGGACTTCCTCAAAAATTTTAAATGAAACTCTCCCATATTATAATATATCATTTGAGAGGAAACAAAAAAAGAAAACTTCAAACCGAAGTCAAAGTTCGAAAATGCTACACTTTGACTATAAATAACCCCTGAACAGCTCAACGTATCAATCTCTAGTTTGAACCAGTTTCTTTTTGTGTGCTCTTTCGAATGATATATTATAATATAGGGGGCCCTCCAAAATTTTTGTGGAGGGCTCCCTGGAGCAGAGAGAACCTTCTTGGGAAGGGGCAACACCCGAGACCCTCTTAAAAGAATAGCTTTGCAAAACGATTGAATACATGTTTTGCGATTTTTCATACTTTTAAACCGTTTCTACCACAATATAAAAATAATAACAGACTTTATGGACACTGTGTGCATATATATTATTTCATATATACAAGTGTATGTGTGTGTGTGTAACTATTGTATGTGTATATATGTATAAGAATATTATAAACTGTTATAATAACATTTATAATGAAATATAATGTTATTATTATGTATTATAGAATAGTACATATTTTAAGTAAATTTAATACAACTATAAAGTGATATATAAAAAAAAAAATCATGCATAATGTGCTGTATCTAAACGCATGAAATTTGATAAATCAATTTTAAAAACTTTTACTCAAAAATTCTTATATATTATATCTTTAATAATCTGGTTATAGGATTTTCGTTTTAAAATGATCTTACGAACACGTCATTTAAATTTGTTACGAATCATAAGTTTATCCACTGCGTCATGACATTTTGTACATATACACATCAAAGTTTAATTTAATTTTATAATTTTTTTAATTACAACAGTTATAAAATATATTATCTCGCTTATTCTCTCGTGTATTATCAGTGTTGTTTATGATTACATATTTTTAGTGGACGCGTGTCGCCATCCTGACGATAAATATGCGCAAGAAGGGAAAACCTTTTTTCTGATGATTCCAGAATAAGTGTCGGAGATACGCTTGGCACCTATGGCCAATACGTTGTCAAAGGTCACACGATATTGATAAGCTCGATTCCGTGTTTATCAGTTATTTTGTAATACTTTCTGACATTTCCATCGAACTGTAAATTATATTGGCAAACATTGATACAGAGCAGAACACTCGATTTAAAACACATAAAAACATCTCAAAACTTACACACTATACTTCGCTAAAGAGCCGTATATTGTTTCAGTCAACGCGATTACTTCGAATCAGTATCAACTAGTGAATTCTTCTCAAGTTAGTGTTAGCAAAAGTGTAATGTGTGTTAGGATGCTAGGTTTAATTGATATTGCACGTGAATCACGTCGCCTGCTGGTCGTGACTAATGCTGTCACCCATAGCATTAGATGCATAAGTGTAAGCACAACGAACTTTTATATTTGACCTAATCTCGTTTCTTGGTTTGCAACGATTTGTTTAATTGATTAATATTGCTGGTTCTTATGAAAATTAAAGTATAAAAACTAATATTTACGTTATGTGTACGATATATATTCTATACAAAACAAGTTTTTCTTTTTTATCTTTTTAAGAATTGTTTTCTTTTATATGTTGCTTCTCTTATTGGGAATTTTATTGGTATATCATCGAACAATGAGAAACAAGACGTTTGCCAGGAAAAGGAAAACACTTAACAAAAAAGATATAAATTACTCATTATATACTGAATTAAAGAGATAATTTTAGTCGAACATGTTTCGCGAATTTTTTTTTAGAATCTTAAGAATAAAGTAATAGCTATAAGACGGGAAGACCAGTCAGTATGGGAAAGAAGAGCGCCATTGGCTCCGGCGAACGTTCGCCGTCTCGTCAGGTTAGGAGTGAAGGTGATTGTTCAGCCTAGCAATCGAAGAGCATATCCCGCTCAAGCGTATCAAGCCGCGGGTGCCCTGTTGCAAGAAGATATCAGTTCGGCTTCCGTTATCTTTGGAGTAAAACAAGTACCTGTGGATCAATTAATACCAAACAAAACATATTGTTTTTTTTCACACACTATCAAAGCGCAGGAAAGCAATATGGCTCTGCTGGATGCAATACTGGAGAAAAATATACGTCTTCTAGATTACGAGAAACTTACGGATACCGATGGTCAAAGGGTAGTCGCTTTCGGCAAATACGCCGGTGTTGCTGGTATGGTGAATATACTACATGGCTTGGGTTTAAGACTGCTAGCTTTGGGTCATCATACTCCATTTATGGTATGCGCTGAATATTTATTTAGTATTTTTGAATTATTAAAACTGACAGTTAGTAAAATAATTCCAGACAATATTTGTGTCTAAAATTATTTTGTAATATTAGATGTACAACTTAATTCTCGCCTCTACATTTAATCAACTATACCCTGATAGCCAAGCATGTTTTGCAAAATCATGTAACTTAATGCTGAGCTGAAGTTTTCAACTAGTTGCTGTGTATTTGCTGAAAACATGATGCATAGTCATACGTAATCGACAACACAAAGGCAAATTTGAGATAATTTGNGTCAGCAGATTCAGAGCAAACNAAGAGCAACTATTGCTCATTACGTTGTCAACAAAATGACTTTTATTCATAGAAAACTCTTTGCTTTGTCATTCGTTTTCGGCAACATAAGATCAACATGACAATAACAAAACAAGACACCGATGTCTGTACTTCTGTTGTATGGTTGGTAAAAACTGTTGACATATATTTATTCTATCTTGTAGCCCATTAAATGTCGAAAACGAATGACCATCTTTTAGAATAAGTAGACAAAAATAATTATATTTTAGTAAGGAACAAGTGGTCTCGCGGACTGAGTGCAGGAATTGCAAATATGAAGGTCTCAAGTTTAAATCCCACCTATCACCTTAAGATTTTTTTTGTGTCCAGTACCTTTCATCGAGTTAATCAGTTGATCGACGAACTAAATCACATCTCCAAAACTTAATTTGAGTGAAATCTCGAATTAATTAATTCCCCTTTCACAAAGCGATGTGTCAGTGAATATATATTTGTCCGTTTTCGATATATTGTATTTTTGCTGAAATTTATGACACGTGTTGTTGGCAACTTGTTGTCATGTTGCTCTTTATGTTAATGATAAATGTTGACAGCAAATACACAGAAAGTTGTCGGCAACACATATTGAATACGTGTCATGTCAAACTAAAGACAAATGCCTGACTCACCTTGTTCTAAATTTGCTGAAAACACAAGCGTTTTGTTTTCGGCAACATAACAGCAAAAATACAGACAGGACTATCAGGGTAGCACTTATTTAAATTGAAAGTTTTTTCCGGCCATAAAGTTGTTTTAAATCGCTATCTTTTAGCTTTAAACCAAGATATAATAGTTTACGATGCTCCTGATATAACTTGAAAAAAGAACCCAGATAACCAAATTTGTCAAAACAGATTTTGCCAAATGCTTGTTACAAAATTTGTTAGCAGAAAGACATCAAATATGATGCAGAGTTTGTTTTATCTGGCAATGTTGCAAAATTGCTAGCAAAAATATATCCAAGCTTGTTGACAAAACATAACAACAAATTGCTGGCAAAAACCGAGCAAAGTTTGCACATAATTTGAGACCAAATTTCACACAGAACAAAAACTCCATTAGACGTCGATAGCTCCATGCGACATTTAATAGATGTCTAATGGATGTCTGAATGGATGGATGTCTGTGTGGAACTTGACGCCAAATATGAAGCAAGATTTGCGCAACATGATTTGATAGCAAAATAACAGCAAAAACCGAGCAAAATTTGCAGTTCAGTCAAACTGTATGGTATTTAAAGGGCCATTTAATTATATCTTGACTTATTTCTATATTAGTAGTAGTATGTAGTATTTATTTTACCTTCTGCCTTATCGGCTTGAAGGGGACTTGGTTACACCTTTTACAGCTTTCTTACCATTTTCTTTCTACATTTATCTTATCTTAATACTTATATCATTTCTTCTTATTGTGAACGCCAGTTATTTTCTAATTACCCTTCCTACTTTGTCTAGACATTTCTCTTCTCACCCCCTCTCTTCTAATCCTCCTACATAACCCCATTTCCTATATCCTATACACATCTATAACATTTTATAACATTTTTACATATAATACATATATTTACATCAGCTTACGCTTATATCGACTTATATTTCTCTGTTTCCGCTCAAATTTTTATTTCTTCTCTCCCCTTATCTCTTTTACTTTCCTAGTCTTAATCTTCTTTCCTCGTTCTTGATTTTCCTCCTTCCTTACATGTATTATACTTTCTTCTTAACTTGTTTCTCCTGTCCTCCGGCGGTGTTCTTTCCGTTCTTTCCCTCAGGTCTCCTTCTAGTTCTCCTCCTCTGCATCCTCCTTATCCTCCATCTCCTTCACTTCTTCCTCTCTCCGTTTTTTCTGTCCCCATTTCTCTTTGTATGTCCCTCCATTGTCTCCACTTTCCTTGGATCTTTACCTTTCCTGTCCCTATTTTCATCTCCTCTCCTTTTTCTCTTTTCTCTTTCACCCATTTATAGATTTCCTCCTGAATTTTTCTCTCTTCCCAAGTCAATTCGTGCTGAATAAATATCTTTTCTCCTTTCAGCTTGTTTTTATTTTCCATTACCGCCTTCTTTTCTTCTTCGCTGCTTAGTTTGATTACTATAACCTTGTTGCTTACTCTACCTTGCTCGACATTGCAATCCAGCCTTAACTTACTCTTGAAGAAGAATTTCGCCCATCTCTTCGGGTCCTCCTTTATCAATTTTAGTTCTTTTTCCTCTACTATCCCTTTCACGACCACATTCTTCTTTCTATCCTCTTTTTCTTTGTCGGAAATGAGACTTTTTATTTTGTATATCTCTCTTACACTTAACCTATCTATGCTTTTATCTGACGCAGAACCTATGTGGCTGTTCATACCTCTACTTACTGCACTCGCTGCACTTGCTACACTTTTCCCGCTCATTTCCTCTCTCTCCGACAGCCAATATTCCTCTCTCTCTTCATCTCTTTCTTGCATTTCTTTAACTATTTTACCTATTTCTTCTATCCTTTCTTCCAAGATCCTTATCCTGATTTCCCAAAATTGCTCTTTCTTTTTCCATTCTTCCATGGAGTCTTTGTATCTCTTCTTTTCTAGCTCAAATTCTGATTCTGACCTTATCTTCTCTGTACCTTCTGTTTTAGCCTCCACCTCTCGTCTTCTTCTTGTCTCCATCCCCGTATTAGTCACCTTTTTCTTTTCCGTCTTGCTTATCTCATTTCCTCCCATCGGAAACTCTAATTGCCTTTGTTTCTCTTCTTTTTCCTTCCTCAGCCTTGTCGGTCTTCCTACCTTTCCTGCCTCCGTACCTTTTGCCGCCATAACCTCTTGTCTCCTGCCTTCCTATCCTTTCAGTTTTCTCTTTCCTCTTCACTCCGATTACCTTGCCTTTATTTCTCCTCCTATTTCTTTAACTTCTACGTCTATTTCTACAACTTGTATTGACTTTCCTATTTTCTTTGTCTAGCTAAACCTTTCTTATATCGTACGTTCTTACAGCCGTGTCCGTGCTCTCGCACGCCACCTAACCAAGTCCTATTTCTATATTATATGTGTACATACTATCTACAATCTATAATTACATAAAATTACTTTTATATTTGAGTATTTAATCTATTTCCAATAATTAAATATTAAAATGACATAATGAAATAA